TATGTGAAGACTTGATCTGAATTTGTAAAAAAAAAGAAAAAGAAGAAACAGAATAACAATTAAGCGAAGAACTAAATTATTTATGCAAAAAAAAGAAAAAGCGATATGATACATGAAAACTTGATTCGAATTTTGAAAAAAAAGAAGAGACAAAATAAATATTGAGTGAAGAACCAAATTATTTATGCAAATAAAAAAAAAGCAATATAATACTTGATCTAATTTATTGTTATGTGATGACCTGATCCGATTTGTGAAAAAAAAAAAGAGACAGAATTAATATTAAGTAAAGAACCAAATTATTTATGCAAATAAAAAAAAAAGCAATGTAATACTTGACCTAATTTATCATTATTATATTGAGCGATAAACCAAATTATTTATGCAGAAAAAAAAAAAGTAATGCGATATTTGACTAAATTTATCATTACACAAAGACTTGATCCAAATTTGTAAAAACAAAAAAAGAAACAAAAATATTAAGCGAAGAACTAAATTATTTATGCAAAGAAAAAAGCAATGCGATACTTAACCAAATTTATCATTATACAAAGACTTGATCCAAATTTGTGAAAAAAAAAGAAGAGGCAGAATTAATATTGAATGAAGAGCCAAATTATTTATGCAAATAAAAAAAAAAAGTGATGTGATACTTGACCTAATTTATCATTATACAATGATCTGATCTGAATTTGTGAAAAAAAAGAAGAAACAGAATAATAATTGAGCGAAGAACCAAATTATTTATGCATAAAAAAAAAGCAATATGATACTTGACCAAATTTATTAGTATGCGAAGACTTGATCTAAATTGTGAAAAAAAAAGAAGAGACAGAATTGATATTAAGTAAAGAATCAAATTATTTATATAAATTAAAAAAAAAACGATGTGATACTTGATCTAATTTATCATTATGTGATGACCTGATCTGAATCTGTAAAAAAAAAAAGAAGAAACAGAATAACAATTGAGTAAAGAACCAAATTATTTATGCAAAAAAAAAAAAGCAATGTGATACTTGACCAAATTTATCATTACACGTGAAGACCTTATCTGAATTTGTGAAAAAAAAGAAGAGACAGAATTAATATTGAGTGAAGAACTAAATTATTTATCAAAGAAAAAAAAAAGCAATGCGATACTTGACCAAATTTATAGTTACATGAAGACTTGATCTGAATTTGGAAAAAAAAAGAAGAGACAAAATAAATATTAAGTGAAGAACTAAATTATTTTATGCAAATAAAAGAAAAACGATGTGAAACTTGACCTAATTTACTGGTATATGAAGGCCTGATCCAAATTTATAAGAAAAAAAATTAATGTGCGAAGAATCAAGTGTTTATGCAAAACCCAAAAAATGTGATACTTAACCTAATTTATTGCTATGCGAAGACCTGATCTAAATTTATGAGAAAAAAAAAAAAGGATAAATGTGAATTAGTATTGAACAAAGAATCAAATGTTTATGAAAAAAAGAGTGAAGAATGAAGTGTTTGTGTGAAAAAAAATAAAAAGACAATGTGATATTTGACCTAATTTACTCATACACATGAAGATCTAATCCAAATTTATGAGATGAGCGAAGAATCAAGTGTTTATGCAAAAAAAAAGAAAAAAATGTGATACTCAACCTAATTTATCATTATGCGAAGACTTGATCCAAATTTATGAGAAAAAAATTGATGAGTGAAAAATGAAGTGTTTATGCAAAAAACCCTCTCTAAAAAAAAAGCAATTGAGCAAAGAATCAAATATTTATAAAAAAAAAAAAGCGATATATACTTAGCCTAATTTATTATTATATGAAAACCTAATCCAAATTTATGAGAAAAAATAATTAATGAGCAAGAATCAAGTGTTTATGCAAAAAAAAATAAAGCAATATATACTTAGCCTAATTTATCTTATGTGAAGACCTGATCCAAATTTATAAAAAAAAATAATTGATGAGTGAAGAATCAAGTGTTTATGTAAAAAAAAATAAAGCGACGCATACTTAGTCTAATTTATTGTTATGCAAAGACCTGATCCAAATTTATAAGAAAAAATAATTAATGAGTGAAGAATCAAGTGTTTATGCAAAAAAAAATAAAGCAATGCATATTTAGCCTAATTTATTATTATGCAAAGACCTGATCCAAATTTATAAGAAAAAATAATTAATGAGTGAAGAATCAAGTGTTTATGCAAAAACCCAAAAAATGTGATACTTGATCTAATTTATCATTACACAAAGACCTGATCCAAATTTATGAGAATAAAAGAATTAGCATTAAAATAATGCTAATTTTAAAATCTTGCATATATCCCAATTAATAAAGTACATTCATCTCTTGTCTTAATTTAGAATGTAATAAAATTATATACTTATATTAATATAACTTTAAAAAAGAAAAAAAAAACCCCAATACAATATAGTAGTATAACTTCAATACTATCAGATTTTTTAATACTTTGAGTGCAAATTGCAAATTTTTTTTTTCTTTAAAAAAGAAATTTTTTTTTAGAATATATAGTAGCCAATAATATTAGGTTCTTTTAATATATTAATTAAACTTTATCATTATATATTTTATACTTGTCTTATATTATATAACAGTAATAATCAAATGACTTGACTTTAACTATTAACTAGTTCGTCATATATACTTATATTTATGTAATAAATACAATTTTAATGTTATTCTTAATACATATTAAAATTAATGTCTAAATAAAGTTTTCTATTATAAAAACTTAGATATTCATATGAAACACTTTATTTAGCAAATCATTAATTTTTCAATATCACTAAATAGAGTCAAATGGCAAGCTGTTATAAAATCAGGTAATAAATACAATCCTAATATTACTCTTTTTCTTAATACATATCAAAATTAATGTCCAAATAAAGTAAGTTTTCTATTACAAAAGCTTCAATATTCATATGAAACACTTTATTTAGCAAATCATTTTCAATATCACTAAATAGAGTTAAACAGCAAGCTGTTAAAAATCAGGTAATAAAGTAGGAAAGTTATAATAATATCATTTGATAATGTTTATATTAAGTAAAAGTTTATGCAAAGAGTATCTAACTGTGATATTTAATAAAATAAGAAAAAAATAATCCTGTAGAATTATATTTTATTGTGTGTCACCTAATAAGGTAAAATTACAAGAATTTTTATGCTTCTTTGAGGTTCATAATTTATGTTGATGGTTATGTGAGTCAAGTTTTATGAGTAATAAATTTATAAAATTTATATATATACCTTTTTTTTTAATCTTGTGCTAATTATATTTCTTTTTAATTTCTTTACATAACTTATATACAGTATAATATAAATAATGTTATTTGTGAAATCATTCCTTCAGTTCGCAGCAAAGATAAAATTAATGTCAATGTATTTCTAATGAATAAAGATAAAAGTTGCAAAAATACATTCTACTAATATTGTGAAAAACAGGACATGCTTAAGTGTAATGGGAAAGCCATAACTCAATTAATGAATAATTAATATTATCTTAAGGATGTGTTAGGCCATAATCAATCAGCTGATGTGAGCAAACTAGAAGTTGTAAAAACAATTGCTAGGATCAAGGAACAAGCACAACGAACAAATAATAAGCCAGCTCAGATTATGCAAACAGTGATTGCTGACAGCTCTCAATACATATATCCATATCTTCCATTAACCAATGCCCTTAGGCAAACTATTTAAAGAATTCATCATCTTGACCTTCTTACAGAACCAGGATCTTTAGAGAGTCTTATTATTTCTGAGTACCTAAGAAAAACTTTAGATAGAGCAGACTTCTTAATTAATGATACTTCCATTGGTCATAATAGAATGCTTATTTTTACAACTCCTAATAATATTCATTATCTAAATCAATCCCTGCACTGAATTATAGATGGGACCTTTAAAACTATTCCTATTATATTTAAGCAATTATATACTATTTACAGTGTGTTTTTTTTTATTAAAAACAAAAAAATTAATAAATTAATAAAAAAAATAATAAATTAAAAAAAAAAATTAATGAAAATTAAAAAAAAAATTAAATTAATAATAAAATTAAAAAATAATTTAATTTAATTTTTAATTTTTAAATTTTTTTTTTTAATTTTTATTTATAAATGATCTATTTTAGGATGTATTGACAGGAGAGATAATTTTAGGGTTATGGCTCTAGTATTTTGTTTAATGACTAATAAGTCAGAAGAATCATATAGAAGATTATTTTAAAAACTAATAGATTTTGGAGAAGAGTATAATATTGATTTACAGCCTCAAATAGTTTTAACAGATTTTGAGAGTGTTGCTATAAACACTATTCAATTAGAGTTCGATGATGTTTAAAGTAAGGGGTGCCACTTTTATCTAGCTCAAAACATTTATCATAAAGTTCAAAACTGCAGGCTTTTTTTACGTTATAGTACTGACAAATGCTTTAGTTTACTAATAAGGCATATTCCTGCTCTTGCATTTTTGTCGTATAATGAAATACCAGGTGCGTTCGATGAATTGAATTTTATTATTCCATCTAAAGCTCATGAGGTTGTGCAATGATTCAAGAAGTATTATGTATACAGAAAAATTAGGCATACATATAGGTAGATTGTATTACAATTTACATTTTTTTTTTTTTTTGTTTTTTAATCCTGTTCTGAGAACATCATTTAATACGATACAATTTTATGTTTTATGTGATTGTACTTACTGCAAAGTAAAAATATGTAAGTAAATATTTAGGTTGTTATTGTAGTGGTCTGTTACAGTAATAACATAAATATTACTCACATGTTTTTACTCTATAACACCCATTTACTTATTTAACATAATTACAAAATTACAATAACTTACTGTAATTACAATTTATATATAGAAATGGTAGTGTGATTAGATCCGAACTATTATTTCTTCCTAAATTCTGGTCAGTGGCCAATAATGTCAAATTCGCATACCCTAGAACTCAGAATTTAGTCAAGGCATGGCAGAGGCAGTGGGATATGTTAGTAAGCTCTGCTCATGTTGGTGTTTTCAGAATAATCAAAGAACTACAAAAAGAACAGAACCAAATTGAGCTCAATATTGAAGCAATCTTAAGAAGCATGCTGAGACCAGCACAAAGGCGACAAACTATTGAACATGAACAATGCATTCAATCAATATTTAATGATCATAACAATAGAACACTCATGGAATTCCTGCATGGAATTGCCCATAATATTTCTTTGTAGAATTTCTTTTTTTTAATTCTACCTTTTTTTTTTTATATAATTTGTTATTAGGTTTTTTTTTTCTTTTTTTATTATTTTATTTTATCATTTATTCTATTCATTATGATTTTACATAAGTAAAAATTTTTTTTTACTATTTGTATTCTCACTGGTTATTAAAGATATACATATATACTATATTAGCCAAAATACATATATTGCACTTGATTAAACTTATTTTATAACTTATTAGGGTGTGCAATGATAATATGGTATTAAGTTCAGATTTGTTAAAGATTAATTTTAGCATAGGATACTGGGGTGTTACATGGACTAATTAATCAAAACTATATCCAATAACTATGTAATTTATCATATTGCAGATTTTTTACATTACACAAATGTAAATTAATTTATATTCAATATACGTACTTCAATTTATTATTAATTTATTATTATATCATAATAAAAAAATTTACAAGCAATTTATTGATTTATCGTTATAATAATAAAAGATTATTTATGATCAAATAAATCTTTGAATAATTTATTAGCTCTTTCTTCACAATTACTATCACTATTGTTAAGATTTTCCTTGATTAAAATTGAATCATTTGTATATTTTGTTTGCTGTAAACATTTCTTCATTTTAAGTTCTGCTAAATCTGAAGAATTACAACTAATTTCAATAAGTGGTAAACTTGTAAGCCATAATTTTGATTGTTGAAGATTGCTTATCATATTTGGATAAGTTTTAAGATCCCATTTATTAAACAAGCCTTCGACTTGTTGTTGGTGCACCAAGATGTACCAGATTTGATTTTTTACAAATTCATACATTTTTGGAAAATAGTATAAGGGTTTCTTTTCTTTAATAAATTGATAAAATTCACAACTGAATTCAGAATTAAGTAATGCAGCTGTTAGTCCGAAATCATTAAATTCAGCAGATTCAATATCTAACTTGATAAATTCTGCATAACACAATTCTCACAATGATGGTACTGAAGGCCAAGATATTTCTAAAATAATATGAGCAAAGCTTCATGCAAATTCTCATTCATAGTTTTCATCTAAATGACAGATACTAAGTAGTAAATGTAACCAACAATCTAACCACTTTTGGTAAAGCTCTAATGCTTTTTGCATATCACATTCTAAATCTGAAATAAGCTTGGCAAGTTGATCATCATTTAACACATCAAGGCTTTCAAGTAATTCTTCTCTAAAAAAAGAATAGAAATCTTTAACAATATTTTGAAGTCTCATAATATTACAAGTTACAAAGTCAGACATTTGGTGTGCCCATCACTCAGAAGAAAGATTTGTTAGTAAAGTATTTTTACTTTGTAGTTGGAATTCAGAATTATATCCTATAAAAAATTTAACCATAAGATAATACAAATCTTTTCCAAAGTGAACAAGTAATTTGATTTGAATGTTTAAGATTGGATTATTAAGCCAGCTTTGAAACAATTCCTATTTTTTTATGTACAATTTTGGTGTATTGTTTCTAGTTTTAAGACAAGCTAAAAACCATTCAGTAAATTTAATATAAATGTCTCTTCACTCTAAGTATTGTTTAGCACACTTTAATTCGTAAAGTCATCTTGATCGAATAGGTTGCTGGTATTTTGTTAATTGATAATTAAAACATTCCTTGTAATGTTTATAAATATAATCAGATTGTATTCTCATTGGCTTGTCTTTATCACTTTTATTGTAACCATCATAGAGATCCCAAGCCAAATATAGAAGATTTGCAGGAAGCTTTTTTTGTGAAAAACCTGAGATACTAGATAGTTTATCAAAAGCAGCCTCTTTGAAATTGTTCATTATAATATGTGCTACATGAATCCCACATGGAACTCGAAACAAGTTTGCTTTACTCAACTGGTTAAACAATGAAATTGCATCTCCAACTTTGTCACTCATATAGTTGGTATTATCTGAAACACATACAGAGCATTGTTGAAAGTTTAATTTAAAATGATTAAACATATCAAATATAGCTTAAGCAACTGCTTTGCCTATACAAGCAGTTAAATCTTTCATCTTTAAGACTTGAAAGTCTGGCTTGTTGTTTTTAGAATTCCAGAATATAATACATATTACAAAGATTTTATACTGACCTTAGGTCGATTCATCTGCCATTATGCCAAAGGTAAAATATTCTGAACAAATATTTGAATTTAAAATATTGTTTATATGAATATCACCAATTTCTTTATTCTATCTAATGATAAATTGTGCTGAAATTGTTAACGGTAGATCTTCTTCAGTTAAAAAGCCTAAAATCGAATGTGTAACTTGTGCAGTACTTCGAAATAATATTTGATTTATTTGCGATATTTGTGTAGCTAAGGTCATAAAGTGGGTTGTATATTCATATTTATTTTTCATAAGAATCACTTTAATGCTTGCTTTTAAACTTCAAGAATTTACAGGTAGTGGTCTTTGAGCTGCAGCCTATACTTTGATATATGACAATGTTGCTTGCATCTATAATGTGATAATGTTTTTATTAACTGTTTAACTTTGTAACTTTTTTTTTCATTTGAATACAGATTATCACATAATGATAAATTAGGGTCAAGTATTACATCACTTTTTTTTTATTTGCATAAATAATTTGGTTTTTTACTCAATATTAATTCTGTCTCTTCTTTTTTTTTACAAATTCAGATCAATTTTTTGCATATTAGTAAATTAGATCAAGTATCACATCACTTTTTCTTTTCTTTGCATAAATAATTTGATTCTTTGCTCAATAGTTTTTTTTTTTTACAAATTCAGATCAAGTCCTCACATAATGATAAATTTGATCAAGTTTCACATCACTTTTTTTTTTTTTTGCATAATTAATTTGGTTCTTTGCTCAAACTAATCTTTTATTCGATTGAACTTTTCTTGCATGATAATAGGCTATCTATTAGGCAAATTTGTTAGTAAATCATATTATTGATGAAATGTACTGTAGGTGAATCGTATTATCAGTAAATTATACTATCAGTGAATCATATTATTGTGAATTATACTGTCAGTAAAATAAGCTTTTGATGAATTGATCTTGTTGATAAAAGAAATTTCAGTGAATTTATTGTTAGTAAAATGAGCTTGTCAGTAAAATAAACTTGTCTGTGAACTAATTGTCAGTAAAATAGGTGTCTTTAAAATAAGCTTGTTGGTAAATGATTGTCTACGAAGTGACATGTCTGTGAGTTGAGTGTCAATGAAATAATATAAATCCATGAATTGGTATTGCTATACTGTTACCAGGAAGAGCAATATAGTTATAAGGAGATAGTATTGAATATGAAGTAAAAGTGTGTTTAAGTAGTTGATAAGAAGTTTGGTGTATAATTTTTTAATATATTCTAAAAAGCTAATAGGTCTGATATTAGTTAAACTTCCATCAAAGATAGGTGTTTTAAAAATAGAAAAGTTTCTTTCTTTTTTTTATTGTTTGGATATACTGTTAGTTGAGATGCATCTGTTAAATAAAGTATTTATAGTTTAAAGAAATAGTAAACTTGCATTTTTAAGCATTTCGTAACTTATGCCTAAAGGGCTACAAGCTTTATTATTTGGAAGTTTTGCAAATATGGTAGAAATTTCTTTTTTAAAGAATTCTGTTAATATTTCTTGATATCATTCTGAATGAATGTTTGTTTTAGATTAATATTTATTATACCAGGAGAAGTTGTAAATTTGTTAATTAATTTGTCTATATGCTGTCTATTGATCGAAGTGTTGTTGAATATATGTTTAAATTTTCTGTACTTCTGTAACAACATCATAATCTGTTTTGATGTTGTCAAACTTTACAAGATCCTTGTAATAATTTAATATACTGTTAATCATTGATTTTGGTTAAGACTGAAGTTTATTACATCTTTTAGTTATATTTTCATTAATCTGTTGTCTAATTATTTTGATATTTTCAATATTACATGTATGATAAAGTGCTTTCCATTTATCATTAGCATTTGAAACCTAACTTATAACTGCTTTCACTACTTTTATATCCATAAACAATTATTTTCTTTCTATAACATATTTACAGTTTTGATTATTTATCAAGCAATGCTTGTGGCTATACTCTAATCATTTCTATTAAAAATGATTACAGTAAAGTTTATGTCTACTTTTCATCTAAACCCAAACCTCTATCTAATTGTTTTATTCTACCACTTCAAGCTATTTGGCATTATTCATACATTTTACTAAAATTATATACAACAGAAGATTATTTTCTTAACTTAAGAAATCAATATACTACAACATTAACACCAAACTTATCTCCTATATTTTCAATACCACTTTAACAATTTTTATTTTTTTTTATTTCTTTATCACTACCATTTTCATCAAGACTTCATTTGAACTATTTATCTGACTTTTTCCTCAACTTAAACATTACAACTTACAAGATTCAAAGCTTTAATAATTTAGAAAAAAAGTTCAAAATAACTTACATATAATCAATTTGACTAAAACCAAAATTGTAGAAATCAAAAACAAAAAATTCTACAACAATTATCAATTCTCTTATTACTGGTCAAATTCCTTACATTTAAAGAAAAAACATGTATCATAATTAAAAATAACTTACAACTACATATTCATAATTTCTTAACTATCCTAGTGAAGCTATTATAATAAATCTCTTCTTTAAATATAACTACAAATTTCAAATAATCTTAATATATCTATTATCAACAAACAATCTTGCTTGCTAACAAATCTAATTCTCCATTATTATATAGATACAACAAGCACTTTAGCTACAACTACTTATAATTATTTTTGGTAATTTCAATTCATCAATTCAAACTACTATATCTAATACAACTAAATATCAACTACTAAACTACTTATATAGTATTAATATATATAATTTGACAAATCATACAAATAATACTGATGCTATTCAGCAAAGTAGTAGATGTAATAGCAGAATTGACTACATATGGTAAGTAATTATACAACCTTATTTTTTAACAAATTCTGTATTAATAACTTATTATGGATTACTAATAGTGATTGTCAAATGCTCATAGCACAATGAACCTTTTTTTTTGCAATAAACAAACCTAGAAAGAAAAACAAATGCAAACATGAAACTTTTAACTACAAAGCAATAACTAACTCTAATATATACTAACACAAAATCTTTATAAAAATAGATAATACTATATTATTGAAAAAATTTGGCACAAAATCTACACTTGTATTATCATTACAACTCTACAATACATTTTTAACAAAAAACAAAAAATTAAACATTCTTTTCATACCTTTAGCTTTAAAGCAACAGCTCTACATAAAGACCTTAAAACATTATTTTTTTTTAATTTTAATGATGAGGCCATGCTTCTATCTTTATTAAATATTTAATTAAGATTTTACATAAAGTACAATTCTGCTTTTAAAATATTATAGAAAGAATAGAAGCTCAAACTAATTTATCTGCAATCTAAACCAACTGGAGTGGCCAAGGCTTACCTAGATTTAAGTGTTAGTAATTATGTATAGAGATTTAGTTTAATATTTGATCTATTGGATATACCAAGAGTTTATTTTTGAACTAATAAAGTTGAAAGAGAAAGGATATGAAAGACAGAGTTTGATAGTAAGTTATGTTCAGAAGTTTGAGCTATAGATCTTGAAATATAATAGAGAATTCAGATTTTATGATAAATTTGTTGGTTGAAATAAAGCAAAAACTTTATAGTAAGTGTTGTGGCTACTTTTTTGGATAACATATTTGTAATAATATTAATGAGTTTGTTTGGTATTAAACCTGTTAAAGTTGAGAAAATCAAAGATGTATCTGATAAACTATGAGTAGTTATACTACTTAGCAGCTTAATTTAGTTGTGAAAGTTAATTATAGTATTAGATATAATGTCAAGTATGTTGATATTAAAAGTATATCTTAGTGAAAAATCTATAAGGCTATATAGTAGTTAGTTAGATGACCAAATTGTCCAATAGAGATGATAACTAGTTTGGTGACATTGGTGACAAATTGGTGAATATAAATGATATCATTTATATAAAATATGTAAAGTAGAAAGATTATCTAGTAGAATTTTAATTCTAAAAGACTTAAGAATCAAAGACTGAAAACTGTGTAAGAAGTTTGAGATTTTTTAATTGTTATTAATAAATAGCCAAATAGCTTATCAGTTAACTTGGTTGAGAATTTTGTGTCATTTTTAAAATTAGTTTTATATAATCTATAATGCATAAATATGTACATGACATATTGTATGAATACTGTAATAAATAGGTAACTCTAAAGAAAAGTTTTCAAAGTTTAAAGTTTATGAAGAATTGTAGTTATTATAAGATATAAAAATAAGATATAGTAAATTGTGATGGTTGCATGCAAGTTGATCTGCAAGATTATTGTATTGATTATCTTGGTGTGCAGTAACTTTGTGAAAAATAATGTGAATATTGTATAATTTAATAAAATTAATAAGTGTATTCCATAATGAGAAGTATGATGTATGTGTATAAGATAAAGTATAAGTTGAGTTTGAATAACTGTGATATTTGGAGATTACTGACTGTAAGTCAATATAGATATGTATAATACAGTTTTTAGAAGCAGTAATAAGAGCAAATAGGATAGTGATATGTTCAGACTTAAATAAGCATGGCCAGTATTTTGTTTGGGTTTGAAATGTGTACATTATAGTATTGTTTGAGATTTAAATTCATCTGATACCTATAGAGCATTGTGATGTGCCCAAGTTGATAACAGAGCCATCTGTATAGAAGTAAAGTTCTAATAATTGTGCATTGTAGTTGGTAATTTGTTAAAGATTGTCTGTTAAAATACTAGGTTCAAAGATAGTTGAAATAGAATGTATTGTAATGTTAATATTAGAAGGATTAGAAATTAGAATAGAATATTAAATTGCAATAGAGTATATGAGATCAAGATAATTAGTATTAAAGTTAAGAGTTTTGTTGTATATATTAACTTGACCAAAGAATCTTGTAGAAAGATTAATAGAAATGTGATTGTATATTTATTAGCAATTGTTTAAAAGTTAAGAGAGCAATCTAGACATGCTTGTGATTGTATAGATAGAAGAAAATAAAGACAAGTAATTTGTAATTCTATATGGCATCGTCAGTAAGTAAAAAAAATGGTTTCTAATAAAGAAGGTTGTCTTCTAGCTTAATCAGTAATGATTTGATTATCAAGTACTGTAATAAGCCATAATTTCTTATATAAAAAAAAATATTCAGTTGAATAACTATAGTAATTAGTGCTAGGTAAGTGTAAATGTTAATAAAGAGTACAATTGTATAAGTGGCTTGTGGTTTGGTCTTTGAGATAGCTAAACCAGAGTAGTAATTTGTTTTTAGGAATTTTGTTTATATATGAAGATATATGTTTTCAATCTAGAAGACATAAGTTGTCAAATGTAGTAAGTT